TTTAATTTTATTAATTGTTATTAATCAAATTGCGTTTATCTCATCAAGGAGGCCGAATTCAACAAAATATCAAGAGAAGATTTAATTGACATTAAACGGCCTACACAATTTTGATATCAAAAGAAAAAAAGTCAGTGGCGCACATGTTTTTTTTTTAAATATTCCAGTGATAACCCATATGCACGTCCCTGATGAATTTATCGACACTTTTTTAGCATTAAAATATGAAGTACTTATAGTAACTTTTACCCTCAAAATTTCGTTCGAATCGCTAAAAGCACTTGGAAGAAAATTGTAATAGGTAAATCGAAAGATTATTAAGACTTTAACACCCTGTAGCTACGAAACAAAGAAGAATCGGACTAGGTAATGTTGATATGAAAAATAAATCTTATTTAAACATGAGGAATCTCCCCACGAGCGATGGCATATGTTTTTTCAAACACCCTGTATATTTTTGTTTGCATTTTGATTTTTTCTAGATCTGATAAATAACCTATTTTTGCACTATTTTTCGTAGAATTTCTACTCTATAATGTCCTAGTATGTCACTGATTTGCAGTGGACATCAATTATTACAAATAAGCTATAAGCCTACGAGATAGTTGAGGACGATGGCGGAGTTCTAAACTTAATTTATTTAAAAATTAATTTTCTGTACCTATATTTTTTCCGTGAATTTTCCGGTATTTTAATAGGTATTCTGTTATTCGAGGCAGAAACGAATCCAACAAATCTAAAATCATTAAAATCGATCCAGCCGTTCTTGACAGATGATAATCACTACCGAAAATATCGATATTTTTTTCAATATAAACATCTCTAATACAACATGCCTGCAGCCTAGTTGGAAATATTCCGTTTTGTTTTAGTTTATTACTTTTATAAATATAATTAACGAGCACTTTTAGCAGATTATCAAAACCTAGTCTTGCGCTCTCTTTTTCTGTACGAAATAAATTATAAAGAAAGATATATTGCAAAAGATTGCGGGCTATAAATTTTTCACAATGTTATATAATATCAAATGCATAAAACATTAAGACATTATCTGCAGTCTTTTAGTAGGTATATTGCCACAGAAGCAAAACTTTTCATCTAAAAAGCCTTTGGTTTCAGAATCCATGGGAATAAATTACTCAGTAATATTTAATTCTATTTCCATAGAATTACATCTATGTCATTCATTTTAAGACACAAATAATGCCACTCCTGTTAGTGCAATACTATTAAATTGTACTAAATACATTTTCACTATGGAAAACAAATGTTTTATTGTTTCTTCTGCATTACACTATTTTTCTTTCTTTTGTTGTTTTTCTTTTTATCTTGTTAAATAGACCTTTTATTTAATTGTTGCTATATAGATCTTATGGCATTATACAAGGCAGAAATTCGATCAGTGTTTGCTGTATTTCTAGTCTTTTTGTAATTTGTAATTTTTTGTTATAATTTTTTATGTATTATATTTTATATTTTTGTAGTTTCTATAAATTATTTTGTTACACAAATTACTATAAACTATTAGTAAATTAAGTAAAAATAAGATGCTAATTGTAAAAACTGGACTGGAGTTAAAAGAATATTATGTTTTTGGAAATTGATATATAAAATAAATTGTTGCTAAAATCAATTGATGAAAAAATAACGCTAAGTATAGCAGAAAAAGTAAAATAAGGTTTTAAAATACATTAAAGAGTAAAATACTAACATAATGTGGAATCTCCGAAAAATACGAAGTGTTTATCCAGTGCCTAGGTAACATACTTCTTAAGTCCCTAACATTGACTATATTTTTTACTTACTAACTGCAATTTCCTTAATACAAATATATATGTAATTTCTGTGCTGGTTAGAGAATTATAAATGTTAAAGTTTATATTTTGCCCAAGATCTATACATATTAATTGTTATCAAATTCCAGGCTGTTGGTTAGTTTTGGCAGCTTGTACTTTTACTATGTACTTATTATATAGGGTGTCCAAGAATACCGTATATAATTTGGCGGGCCTTTCTTACGCTCATACCTGTTCCAGCAAGAGCAAAAAGAACTATTTAAAGCTGTATGTTTTAACTTTGAGTTTGTTTAAGTTTGTAGGCATGAATGAGGTATTAGTACAAAGAATCCCCAGTATTGACACACTAAGTGACAAATTATAATAGCAAATGCTACAAAAAAAACCTGAATAATTTCATGTTAAAATAAAAGGTTTATGAAACAATGATTTAGTTTATTTCGTTATTAGCTTTGTCCATTAAGGAAAATGAACTAAAGAATACAAAATTAAACACAATTCCATTCCATTACTACAGATTTTATTATTATGATATAACGATATATGGCGTAACAAAAACTTGTTAAAGCTTTCAGTTTGTTTACTTTTATGCTATTTCAAGCTAAACCGAAAATTTCTTCACATTTGTATTAATTACAGGGAAAAGAGCAGTAATGGAAAAACACTATTATACGCAATTTGAACGTCAAATGCCTTCGGGGCATTCAAACGCATCGCACTTTTCTTCATACATGGTTCAGTTGCCTCAGAAGTACTCCAAATATTCAATATATTGAAATTAATTTACATAGATACAAATGCAAAAAGAACTTATTATTTAATTATGCTTCTTATATAACCTACATAAGTAACTAATTTTATGTGTGCTAAATATTTAGGTAAATCCATTTCATTCTGAAAATAATGCCTATGCCTTTATGGCGTTTTTATTTCTTGAAAAAAAACTAGGTACAAAAAAAACATAAAATGTAAAAAAATGCCAAGTGTTCTATCAAAAAGTTGTCTACCACTAGCTATCTGACTAGCGATAATTCATAAACTGTAAAGCATAATTAGTATGTATTGGTAATATAGCCACTAGGAGTATATCCCTTGGTCACTAAAACTTAATACTTGCTTTATCAAGAACTAAGTTACGGGGTGATAAAAAAAAGAAAGTACCGTTAGATGCTTTGAGAAAAGAGTGGTACGGCTGTGTTCAATTTGAGGGAACTTCCTATGTCCCCAGATTCTATAAGATAACCGAAAAATTTAGGTAGGGTCGACATTTTCAATGTAAAAGACTATAAGTTGGTTGGCTGGTACTGAAAAGGCTGTGATTCTAGAGAACAAAACTGATAATAATATCCAGGGTGAGTTTTCTACGATGTTCTCTATGGGTATCTTGGAAACTACTGGAGTCGGTTAAATAGGGAAATAATTGCAGTTTTGTGAGGTCATAAATATGCGCCTTTCAGATTTTTGAAAATGGCTTTCTAGATATTTCGAAAAAAACAAATTTTGTCAATTTTAAAAATGGTCCCTAATTTCATTATAATCTATTTTAGACAAAAAGTTTTCAGATAAAAGTTGTAGATAATCACATCCTTAATGAGGTTGTGTTCTACTTCTTTTTCTAAAGTTTGTCATTTTTGACATATGACACAAACTTATGTTTTTTTAAATAGAAACCATAGTTGGCCATGACTTCATAAAAAGGGCCATTTTTTAAGGTTTTCAGTGATATAATCTATAATATGTTTTTTTTTCGAAAAAATACTGAGTTATAGCCAATTCTTATAATTTTTAAACAATTTCACTTAGTTAGCCATGGAAACAAGTTTAATCGTCGTTGCTCTCAGAAATGTCAAACTGTCACATCCAAACTTTGTAAATTAAAATAACCAAAAATTGTAAATATGATTTTTTCAAATGAAGAAAAGCGTGTAGGATTATTAGTTCAACTTTTCTTGGTCATACATTTTCGAGGATACGTTAGATACGTTTTTTAGAGAACGGTTTTCAAGACATGTTAGAAAAGTTAAATTTAGAGACTCGCGCATCAATAGAGTGGTTCCAACATCACTTTCATTATGACACTCCCCTCATCCGCCATAATGAAAAAAAAAATGTTAAAAATTATTTATATCATAATTATTTAAACTCAAGGATAGGAAAAGGTGGACCAATTGCATGGGCCTCCTCGATCACCTGATCTATCTATTTTAGTTTTTTTATGCGGTATATTTTTTGAATATTTTCTAAAATAACTTAAACTGTATGTAGTGATATTATTTTTTAAGTTTAAGTTTGTGTAATGTAAATTGTAAAAAAACTATTTAATAAAATAGTCTGTCTTTTTATAAGTCATAAATTATAATAATTAAATAAATAACATAATAAGAATACCATGACATAACTAAGTGACATAAGTCAAGAAAGATAAGAATTACTTATAACTCTAACTATTTTTCGAAAAAACATATTATAGCTTATATCGCTGAAAAGCTTAAAAAATGGCGCTTTTTATAAAGTCATGGTCAACTATGGTTTCCATTTAGAAAAAACACAAGTTTGAGTCATATGTCAAAAATTACAGACTTTAGAGAGAAACGGAGAACACAGTCTCATTAAGGATGTGATTATCTACAACTTTTATCTGAAAACTTTTTGTCTAAAATAGATTATAATGGAATTAGAGACCATTTTTAAAATAGCAGAAATTTGTTTTTTTCGAAATATCTAGTAAGCCATAAACTTTTTCAAAAATCTGAAAGGCGCATATTTATGACCTCACAAAACTGCAATTCTTTCCCCGTTTAACCGAGTCTCTATCTCCAGTAGTTTTCGAGATACCCATAGAGAACATCGTAGAAAACTCGTATTTAAACCCTAAAAATTTTTATAATTTTTAACCTTGTATTTAGTCGTTTATGGAATTTGATTAGAGAATCATTGGGTATAAAAATAAAAAGAACAAATAATTACGAACAAAGTGTCTTATACCAATGTAATGTAACAATTCTATTTTTACTTATTTTTATATCAGAGGTTGGTAGGACCTATAAAAATTATTCACAGTGAATAGAATTAATGGCCGAATTCTATTAAAAATGCATTCTAACTTTAGACATGCGTGTTTATAAATAATATATTTTAGAGTTATAATCATTGATACGTTTTATGAATAATATTAATATATGAATAATATTTATTTCTTTTCAGTGTTCGATGCATCGGGTCGTTACAACAGCCCCTTCTTTTTCGGCAACAATTTTTGGCTGGGATCCTTAACTTTGTGCGATGAATTGTCGAACAAAGAATCTAATGCTGAACAACCACCTTTTCTTATACATTTCTACGTAGCCAAAATCAGAATAAGCAATTTTACCAATTTACCAACAGAGGTAAGTATGTTATTTTGATGTTTTTTGATCAGTCTTGATGATTTAAATATTTTAATGTCTACAAATCATTTAAATGTCAACGAAAATACATTTATGTAATGCTTTGATTTAATGTAAAAATCAGAGTTAAAACACCAGTTCTAATGTAAATAATCGAAACTATTATAGTGTTAAGCCCCATACTCACACTTCGCTACTTCACTTCGTTCATTCCTCGCGTCCCTTCGTCCAAAAATCATATATTTACTATTGGAAAATGTCGATTTTATGCGACTGTGTGTTCCTTCCTCCTTCGTCAAAACGCTACTTCGTCCGTTTACTTCCTCGAAACGCTCCTTCCACGTATTGTCGGTTTTTGGAGGAAGTAGCAAAGGAATTATCACGAACACAAAAAATATTAAAATATATAAAATATATAAATCGATCTTGGATTTCATTCGTAGTTGATTTCTTGATTTGGCAGTACGTCTGTACAGGGTGTCCCATTTTCGTGTGTTTTGTGCAGGGTTTCTCGTTTATGAGTCGAAAATACAAAGATGCGGTTTCACATTACGCTGTTACTTTTTATGAAACTAAAGATGCTACATACAGATATGTCCTAGCTCTTACTTCCTAAAATACAGGGCGAATCTGAAATTATTGCATTTATCGATTCCCTTTGTATCATAACTTATCGAAAAGGTGAAAACGGTCTCCGTACAGTTTTTCACGTAGAATGCAGTGACGTAACTATTTCTTCGTTGGAATCTGCCTTTTTAAATTGACTAAAACTTATATGTTTTTTAAATACGATATTTTGTATATTATTTTATTTTCCCTTGTTACGAGCTTTCTAAAATACTTATATTTTCATAGACGGGGTAAAATGCATTATTTAACTTTATTACATAGTCGGCCGGTTTAAATTAGGTAATCAAAACAATCAACTAATTTATTCGACGTAAAATGTTGGTTATTGGCATATTATTTAAAAGCAGCACAAGTTCAGTTTCCGTGTAGTTTATCAAAATATCACGATGCAAAGGAAAATTATCTGGTAAAATTAAGTTAAATAAAATAAGAGCCGTTTAGCAGTTTAGCAGTGCCTAAATAAATAAATATAGAGTATATTATAATTTTCGAAAGCTCATAACAAGGCAAATAAAATAAAAAATAATATATAGAGTGTCCTGTTTAAAAAAGAACATAAGTTTGAGTAATTTTTCGAAATAGACAGCTCCCAACGAAGAACCACTTTCGTCACTGCCATTCTACCTGAAAAACAGAGACACGGGCGGTGGTGTAAAAGTAACTCAATAGGTAGAACAAAACAAAAATCAGGGTATCCGGTATATACCTCTACATTTAGATGAACAGTCTAATTTTATAAAAGGTATTTCCAACGACCGCATAGTAAATACCCGATATAATACCAGTAATGTCAGGAATACGAGCATATCTACAATACTTCTTATATATATTGTAGATATTATATATTGGTATATTTCTATTCCTGGTATTATACCGGGTATTTACTATGCGGTCGTTGGAAACTCCTTTTATTAAAATTAGGATGTTCATCTAAATCTACAGGTATATACATATATACCCAGATTTTATTTATCTACAAATTGGGTACTTACCCACCGCCCAGCACTGACCCTTTTCACCTTTTCGATAAGTTATAAGATAATCAGATAATCGAGATACAAAGGTTATTGAAAAATGCAAAAATTTTTACTAATTAAAAAATAAAAAGTAAAAGAAAGAAATAAGAAATAACTTTGAACTAAGAAGGCTAGGATAAATATGTATTTATCCTAGCCTTCTTAGTCCAAAGTTATTTCTTATCTCTTTTGCAGCATATTTAGTTTCATAATAAGTAGAACAATGATGTGAAAACAGCATCTTTATATCTCTACTCATAAACTAGAAACCCCATAAAACACACACAAATGGGACATCCTGTACATCTAGCAATCGCCAGTCGATATAAAAATAATTCACACACAATAGTCTAAAAATGGAAGAAAAAAACAATATTGTCTTCATATTTGTAAAAAAATGCATGTCCATATTTATGTAATCGTAGCGACAAAAATAAAAAAATGGAAATAATGTGCATGATGCCTTTACAAAAACATCTGAAGAAATGGGGATTGAAATGATCATTAACATTTAATTAGTATGTCATATTTCATGGTTTCGATATAAATTACATAATAAACTTTACTCTATTGTTTCACTCGCCTTGTACATTCATACTGATTTACCTTGTACATGATACTGAAATATTCGGATTTATTAAAAAAAATATATTATTAAAATTCAATTTTTATTTTTGACACGACAAAAAATTGCAGTTTTATAAAATAAAAATTATGCGCCTTTCCAAGCATCGAATGGACGAAGGAAGGAAGCGAAGGGACGAAGGAACGCGAGGAAGTAACGCGAGGAAGGAGCGAAGTGTGAGTATGGGGCTTTAAAGGTTTGTTGATGATTCTAATATATTGTTATTAATAAATAATTAGTATTATAGTGGCAGGACGTTATACTGTAACACTTCTTTCTTATTACTTTTTACTTTGGTGTTTGTTTTGATAATATCAAAATATTTATTAGGATTTATGATTGATATACCAACATATACATAAGCAATAATATTTTTATTCTATAGCAACTGTTAAAATTGCCTTGTATCTATCAAAAATAGTAGATAAAATAGTACTTTAACCGCAAGGGTAGATTAAATGATACTTTAACAGCGAGGATAGGTTAAAACTTTAGGTTGATTCTTCTCGCACGTTTTTTAATTGCTTCCATTTTTGAAAATTTTTGTATTCCTTTTCATAAGTTATTCGGGATTTAAATAGAAGTAGTTTGTATATTGCGTTTGTCGCCTCAGCCTGAATATCTGTTGGTAATTTACTTATTTTGTTTTGAGCCATTTCTGGCTCCAATTCAATCAGCAATCGACACGAAAGAAAACTAAAAAATATTGACTCAAAACTGACAACTAAAAGACATCTTTATTTATTTGTCAAATTACATAGAAACCAACGCCATGGAAGTGGAAGAGATCATGTCAAGGAATGGGTATTCCAATGAATGAGGACCATCTTCTGACACTTAATTTTGCAGACGATCAAGCAGTATTTGCTCAAGATTCCTTTGACATGGAGTTTATGCTCAGGAGACTATATACTGAGTATCAGGAATGGGGTCTAGAAGTCAGTTTAGAAAAAACAGAATACTTGGTATTAAATTCCGACGCCAAATTTGATATTCTAATTGACGACAAGGCAGAAATACAACAGGTAGACACATTCAAATATGTAGGAGCTATAGTTGATAAAAATGGAATCGGTGGTACAGAGAGACGACAGAGAATTCAGAACGCGAGGAGAGTGGTAGGGGCACTCAACTCAATCTGGTGGGACAAACATATTAATATAAAGAATAAAAAACATATTGGCCAAACAATGGTAGAATCGGTCTTATGCTATGGGAGTGAGATATGGGCCCTAAGAGAAGAACATAAACGGAGAGTATTGGCTGTAGAGATGGATTACTTACGTAGAAGCGCTAGAGTGTCCAGATTACAAAGAGTGAGAAACGAGGAAATCAGAAACAGAACATCGGCACAAGAAACAGTAATTCAACGAATAGAGAAAAGAGGTTTGAGATGGTTCGGTCATCTAATGAGGATGGAGGACACAAGATGGCCAAAACGTGTATTCAAATGGTCACCCACTGGAAGAAACAAAAGGGGACGCCCGCGTCGGTCCTGGAACGATGGTATACGACAAGCGATGAGAGATCGGAATATCGAAGATCTCGTGTACGACAGAGATGGCTGGCGATTGAGACTGGGAAGGCAACATTTAGTTGTATAATCTATATAGTACAGTAACTGTATTTTTTTATAAGATTGATCCCAAATATATATATATATATATATATATATATATATATATATATATATATATATATATATATATATATATATATATATATATATATATATATATATATATATAATCTATATTATATAATAAATAATATTTTTTTGTTTTAGCTGTGTATTTTTTTTTTTTCTGAATGAATAAATTAGAAAAATTTAAAAAAGTAAAAGAAAATTGTTTTTGCTTGTCGTAAAGGGGAACCAAAGCTCCACTCCCACATTTGCTTTCTAGTACCTACCCTTCATCTCAGATTGGGCTTTTCGGCCTGGCTAGCAGGTCTCACCGATACGGCAAAACTTCTTCTATATCAACAGACGATGTCGTAAAGTGTCGGTGAGATATTAGTTTTTCGAAATTAGAAAAAATACACAGCTAAAGGCAAGAAAATATTATTTATTAATATACACTAAAGCTGTAAGAATTTTGTTCATTTCATATATTTGAGCGGGCCGAAAAACGCTCTTTACCATCTTTTGACGGGAGATGCACTAATATCTCACCTACACTTTACGACATCGTCTGTTGATATAGAAGAAGTTTTGCTTGCCGTATCGGTGAGAGCCAGCCCCTGAACAGCCCACCTGATGAAGGGTAGGCCCAGAAACCGGTTGTGAGGGAGCTTGGTTCCCTTTTACGACAAGCAAAACAATTTTCTTTTTTACTTTTTTTTTTTAATTTTTTCTTTCGATTTTTCGAAATTAGAAAAATACACAGCTAAAGGCAAGAAAATATTATTTATTAATATACACTAAAGCTGTAAGAATTTTGTTCATTTCATATATTTGAGCGGGCCGAAAAACGCTCTTTACCATCTTTTGACGGGAGATGCACCTAATATCTCACCGACACTTTACGACATTGTCTGTTGATATAGTAGAGTTTTGCTTGCCGTATCGGTGAGAGCCAGCCCCTGAACAGCCCACCTGATGAAGGGTAGGCCCAGAAACCGGTTGTGGGAGTGGAGCTTGGTTCCCCTTTACGACAAGCAAAACAATTTTCTTTACTTTTTTTTTTTTTAATTTTTTCTCTACTTTCGATTTTTCGAAATTAGAAAAATACACAGCTAAAGGCAAGAAAATATTATTTATTAATATACACTAAAGCTGTAAGAATTTTGTTCATTTCATATATTTGAGCGGGCCGAAAAACGCTCTTTACCATCTTTGACGGGAGATGCACTAATATCTCACCTACACTTTACGACATCGTCTGTTGATATAGAAGAAGTTTTGCTTGCCGTATCGGTGAGAGCCAGCCCCTGAACAGCCCACCTGATGAAGGGTAGGCCCAGAAACCGGTTGTGGGAGTGGAGCTTGGTTCCCCCCTTTACGACAAGCAAAACAATTTTCTTTTTACTTTTTTTTTTAATTTTTCTCTTCACTTTCGATTTTTTCGAAATTAGAAAAAATATACAGCTAAAGGCAAGAAAATATTATTTATTAATATACACTAAAGCTGTAAGAATTTTGTTCATTTCATATATTTGAGCGGGCCGAAAACGCTCTTTACCATCTTTTGACGGGAGATGCACTAATATCTCACCGACACTTTACGACATTGTCTGTTGATATAGAAGAAGTTTTGCTTGCCGTATGGTGAGCCAGCCCCTGAACAGCCCACCTGATGAAGGGTAGGCCCAGAAACCGGTTGTGGGGAGTGGAGCTTGGTTCCCTTTACGACAAGCAAAACAATTTTCTTTTTTACTTTTTTTTTTTTTTTTTTTCTACTTTCGATTTTTCGAAATTAGAAAAAATACACAGCTAAAGGCAAGAAAATATTATTTATTAATATACACTCAAAGCTGTAAGAATTTTGTTCATTTCATATATTTGAGCGGGCCGAAAAACGCTCTTTACCATCTTTTGACGGGAGATGCACTAATATCTCACCTACACTTTACGACATCGTCTGTTGATATAGAAGAAGTTTTGCTTGCCGTATCGGTGAGAGCCAGCCCCTGAACAGCCCACCTGATGAAGGGTAGGCCCAGAAACCGGTTGTGGGAGTGGAGCTTGGTTCCCCCCTTTACGACAAGCAAAACAATTTTCTTTTTTTACTTTTTTTTAATTTTTTCTACTTTCGATTTTTTCGAAATTAGAAAAAATACACAGCTAAAGGCAAGAAAAATATTATTTATTAATATACACTAAAGCTGTAAGAATTTTGTTCATTTCATATATTTGAGCGGGCCGAAAAACGCTCTTTACCATCTTTTGACGGGAGATGCACTAATATCTCACCGACACTTTACGACATTGTCTGTTGATATAGAAGAAGTTTTGCTTGCCGTATCGGTGAGAGCCAGCCCCTGAACAGCCCACCTGATGAAGGGTAGGCCCAGAAACCGGTTGTGGGAGTGGAGCTTGGTTCCCCTTTACGACAAGCAAAACAATTTTCTTTACACTTTTTTTTTTTAATTTTTTCTACTTTCGATTTTTCGAAATTAGAAAAAAATATACAGCTAAAGGCAAGAAAATATTATTTATTAATATACACTAAAGCTGTAAGAATTTTGTTCATTTCATATATTTGAGCGGGCCGAAAAACGCTCTTTACCATCTTTGACGGGAGATGCACTAATATCTCACCTACACTTTACGACATCGTCTGTTGATATAGAAGAAGTTTTGCTTGCCGTATCGGTGAGAGCCAGCCCCGAACAGCCCACCTGATGAAGGGTAGGCCCAGAAACCGGTTGTGGGAGTGGAGCTTGGTTCCCCTTTACGACAAGCAAAACAATTTTCTTTTTTTTACTTTTTTTTTTTAATTTTTCTCTACTTTCGATTTTTTCGAAATTAGAAAAAATACACAGCTAAAGGCAAGAAAATATTATTTATTAATATACACTAAAGCTGTAAGAATTTTGTTCATTTCATATATTTGAGCGGGCCGAAAACGCTCTTACCATCTTTGACGGGAGATGCACCAATATCACCTACACTTTACGACATCGTCTGTTGATATAGAAGAAGTTTTGCTTGCCGTATCGGTGAGAGCCAGCCCCTGAACAGCCCACCTGATGAAGGGTAGGCCCAGAAACCGGTTGTGGGAGTGGAGCTTGGTTCCCCCCTTTACGACAAGCAAAACAATTTTCTTTTTACTTTTTTTTTTTAATTTTTTCTCTACTTTCGATTTTTCGAAATTAGAAAAAATACACAGCTAAAGGCAAGAAAATATTATTTATTAATATACACTAAAGCTGTAAGAATTTTGTTCATTTCATATATTTGAGCGGGCCGAAAAACGCTCTTTACCATCTTTTGACGGGAGATGCACTAATATCTCACCGACACTTTACGACATTGTCTGTTGATATAGAAGAAGTTTTGCTTGCCGTATCGGTGAGAGCCAGCCCCTGAACAGCCCACCTGATGAAGGGTAGGCCCAGAAACCGGTTGTGGGAGTGGAGCTTGGTTCCCCCCTTTACGACAAGCAAAACAATTTTCTTTTTACTTTTTTTTTTTTAATTTTTTCTCTACTTTCGATTTTTCGAAATTAGAAAAATAATACAGCTAAAGGCAAGAAAATATTATTTATTAATATACACTAAAGCTGTAAAAATTTTGTTCATTTCATATATTTGAGCGGACCGAAAAACGCTCTTTACCATCTTTTGACGGGAGATGCACTAATATCTCACCTACACTTTACGACATCGTCTGTTGATATAGAAGAAGTTTTGCTTGCCGTATCGGTGAGAGCCAGCCCCTGAACAGCCCACCTGATGAAGGGTAGGCCCAGAAACCGGTTGTGGGAGTGGAGCTTGGTTCCCTTTACGACAAGCAAAACAATTTTCTTTTTACTTTTTTAATTTTTTTCTCTACTTTCGATTTTTCGAAATTAGAAAAAATACACAGCTAAAGGCAAGAAAATATTATTTATTAATATACACTAAAGCTGTAAGAATTTTGTTCATTTCATATATTTGAGCTCTTTACCATCTTTTGACGGGAGATGCACTAATATCTCACCGACACTTTACGACATCGTCTGTTGATATAGAAGAAGTTTTGCTTGCCGTATCGGTGAGAGCCAGCCCCTGAACAGCCCACCTGATGAAGGGTAGGCCCAGAAACCGGTTGTGGGAGTGGAGCTTGGTTCCCCCTTTACGACAAAGCAAAACAATTTTCTTTTACTTTTTTTTTAATTTTTCTCTACTTTCGATTTTTCGAAATTAGAAAAAATACACAGCTAAAGGCAAGAAAATATTATTTATTAATATACACTCAAAGCTGTAAGAATTTTGTTCATTTCATATATTTGAGCGGGCTGAAAACGCTCTTTTACCATCTTTGACGGAGATGCACTAATATCTCACCGACACTTTACGACATTGTCTGTTGATATAGAAGAAGTTTTGCTTGCCGTATCGGTGAGAGCCAGCTCCCCGAACAGCCCACCTGATGAAGGGTAGGCCCAGAAACCGGTTGTGGGAGTGGAGCTTGGTTCCCCCTTTACGACAAGCAAAACAATTTTCTTTTTACTTTTTTTTTTTTAATTTTTTCTTACTTTCGATTTTTCGAAATTAGAAAAATACACAGCTAAAGGCAAGAAAATATTATTTATTAATATACACTAAAGCTGTAAGAATTTTGTTCATTTCATATATTTGAGCGGGCCGAAAAACGCTCTTTTTACCATCTTTTGACGGGAGATGCACTAATATCTCACCTACACTTTACGACATCGTCTGTTGATATAGAAGAAGTTTTGCTTGCCGTATCGGTGAGAGCCAGCCCCCTGAACAGCCCACCTGATGAAGGGTAGGCCCAGAAACCGGTTGTGGGAGTGGAGCTTGGTTCCCCTTTACGACAAGCAAAACAATTTTCTTTTTTTACTTTTTTTTTTAATTTTTCTCTACTTTCGATTTTTCGAAATTAGAAAAAAATACACAGCTAAAGGCAAGAAAATATTATTTATTAATATACACTAAAGCTGTAAGAATTTTGTTCATTTCATATATTTGAGCGGGCCGAAAAACGCTCTTACCATCTTTTGACGGGAGATGCACTAATATCTCACCGACACTTTACGACATCGCCTGTTGATATAGAAGAAGTTTTGCTTGCCGTATCGGTGAGAGCCAGCCCCTGAACAGCCCACCTGATGAAGGGTAGGCCCAGAAACCGGTTGTGGGAGTGGAGCTTGGTTCCCCTTTACGACAAGCAAAACAATTTTCTTTTTTTACTTTTTTTTTAATTTTTCTCTACTTTCGATTTTTCGAAATTAGAAAAAAATACACAGCTAAAGGCAAGAAAATATTATTTATTAACATACACTAAAGCTGTATGAATTTTGTTCATTTTCATATATATATATATATATATATATATATATATATATATATATATATATATATATATATATATATATATATATATATATATATATATATATATATATATATATATATATATATATATAACTATAACTTTATTAGAGTAAAAGGTACCTATATAGTCATTTAAATTTCAGTCTTTGTTCTAGGATAGACAGATTCTTCTAGGACAATGCCTACCCAGATCCTGCAAAGTATCGGATGTGCAGTTTTGTTATCTCAGGAAAGTTATCATGGCGGTACTCTGGATGTTCTGGATTTAAGGGCAATACCTGGAGACTATTCGGTATTCACCGATCAAAAAGCTCACATTGTCGGGTAAGAATTGCTTTTTTTTTAAATCTAAAATGAGATACGCCATATTTAGGTTGTGCCCTCCTCTGGTGAGAGAAATTAATAGGAAAAGTGTAAATTTACAGAAAGAGTTTAAACTTATACAAAAAGTGAAAGTTTTGCTAAAAATACTTCACAATGTTGGCATATGTTTTTATTATATTGGTAATTCCTTTAATAGATTACTTAAAAAGATGAATTCACTAATCGTAGTTCCAGTATAATAAAATCGATAAAGTTATAACCTGTATATATGTATATTTTATTGGTAATTGACAACGATCATTCATGATAAGTTAATTAGCCATGAACGTTACGGAACCGGCAGAAAAACACAATGATACAAGCATAACCTTAAAAACGATAATTTTCCATCGTTTAAATTCTACTCTTTACTGTTAACGATCGCGTTAAACAATTGTCTAGTAATGAAGAACTAAACTCTTACAAAATTTATAGTATTGTTATGTCTTTGTGCAGTTCATAATATGCAAATAAGATTTATTACCCTTTGGACGAAGAATTGAAATTGCTAGTTTAATATTGACATACCCTAGATGCAGTAAGGATATAAATTATGCATTATCTATTTGTTATTAGAATATCCTTGCTTAAGATCGCAAAAAGTTTTTGATACAAATTATGTTTTATAGAATACAGGTGGTTGTTCACCACATACGACACGGAGTATTGTAGCTAAACGATTAGATTTTTAATTGCAAATTTTGGGTTCGTTGAAGGACTATTAGAACTACAATTTAAAAATATTTTTACAAGATACAGAGTGTCCCAAATAAGTAAAAAATATTATAGTTGTATTTTTTTAATGGAACACCCTGTATATTATGCTATTTTTCGATTCTACGATTAAAATAAAAGTAAATTTGATTAAGGTTTATCGCACTTAAACCTTACCGTTTTTTGAAATATTTTCAATTTTATGAAATTGTAGTAAAAATTTTAAGGTTTCATTTCTACAAGGGTATCGACAAGTATCGAAGTTCTTAATACTAAATATTTACTGAAGTTTGTTTATTGATCAGATATTGTGTTGCAATAATAAACAAAATACCACATTATACAGAGTGTCTAAAAATTTATATTAAATAATTACTAGCTTTTAACGGCAATAACTTGTTTAATTTAAATGGAATGCCCTGTATATTTTACGAGAATCAGATGCACAATTTAATTGTCTATCAAATTGTATTATGCCATTTTTACCTATCTCTTGAGGTTTTCGTAGAAAATGCAGTTTCTTATAGTTTAGACCTCATTTATCACTATACCATAGGTAATCTTTGCTATACCAATGTAATATTGACATTTCAGATTATTTTTAAAGACGTAACAAATTTTCAAAGAGTACAGATATAGTTCGTTTGTTTCATTAAAAGATAAAAAAACTGTTTAAAAATATTTTTCTGTTAAATATGACCAATTAATATGATTAATAATAATTGCTCCAAATACTAAAAAACTGAATTTTGTATGTGTCGACAGTTTGGTAAAAAGTAACACCTTATAAATTTTATTTCAATATTTGACGAATGCTTATTTATAATATCTAACCTAACAACAGAGACGTTCATTTTCATAACTTATTATTGTATTGATTTCTGAGTCAAATCCACATTTATTTAGAAGACTTTATTAATTAAAACAATTAAGTATGTAATTAACTAATTTTTGGGCGGAAATAATGGTGGTATATTAATAATTAGTAATAATTGGTATACTCTTTTACAAGAGTTAAATAGTTTTCTTTTTGTAAACAAATGGGCTTGCTTTATTATTATTTTTACCGCCTATATTTTGTACATATGTTGCTTTAAAAAAATCTAAAATGTCAATATTCCATGGGTATAGGTAATTTAAAATGAGGTCTAAATTATAAGAAAATGCATTTTTTACGAAAACTTGAAGAGATAGGTAAAAAGTGGTATAATACAATTTGATATCCAATTAAATCGTGCATCTGATTCACGTAAAATATACAGAGTGCTCCATTTAAATCAAACAAGTTATTGCCGTTTAAAGCTAGTCATTATTTAATATAAATTTTTGGACACTCTATATAAGATAGTATAATTTTTATTATTCCAACACAATATCTGACCAATAAACAATCTTCAGTTAATATTATTAGTATTAAAACCTTTAATACCCTTGGAGAAATGAAGCCTTAAATTTTTTAATGCAATTTTACAAAATTGAAAGTATTACAAAAACGTTAAGGTTGAAGTGTAATAAACCTTAATCATTTACCGTTATTTCAATCGTAGAATCTAAAAATAGAATAATATACAGGGTGTTCCATTTAAAAAATACAACTATAATATTTTTTACTAATTTGGGACACTCATGTTATACTATTTTTAAATTGTAGCTTTATAGTCCTTCAATGAACACAAAACTTACAATGTGTAAAAATCTAATCATTTAGCTACAATATTCCGTGTCGTATGTGGCGAACAACCCTCTATATTAAGCTGTTTATAGTTTACAAGATTTTTTATGGATGTCTTTCAAAATCGAGAGGTTTAATCGTCAAAGTTAAAACCCCCTTGATCATTTTTTTGATTACATGGTATGTTGAGTTGTTAATTAAAATATCTGAAATTAATAGTGTGTTATTTTCCTGTGAAAATTTTCTATATTCTTCATTGAAAACCATTATTATATCAGAGGAGAAAATATTAAGAAGAAAATTATTCTCATATTAAACTTGGGAAAATTATAACAATAAATTCAACGTCATGCGTTAGTTCCTTGAGACTTTTATTGATTTTGAATATTAATGATTTCTTGAGCAGATTTAATATCAAGCAGTTCCTCCAGTGGCGGCTGACGGCTAATTTTCAGTACGATACATGCATTAGAGATGAGCAAAATTGCGATTCTTCGATCGTAATTGAAACAGCGATAGCGATTTTTAAATCGCTGCGACTGTAACCTGCGATTGCGATTTTAATTTTTTAATATTGTACTAGGTCTATAATTGTCTGTGTATGTACCTATAGTTTAACAGTTAAAAAGAGTTGATAATAATCAGTTGTTTAGTTTTTAAGTTTTTTTAACAGCTGCAACACAAATACATTATAAGAATATATTGCAAAAGCATAGTAAGTAGTAGTGCGCATTTAAGCAGCTAAACGCAATTTTAGTTTTATTTTATGCCACAAAGTCTCAACTTTTCAAGGACTGTTCTAAGGTCATGAGAGGACCTTTTTTAGTCGTATGACATGCGGTACAGTCTTGTTGATATATAAAATTCATGTCACTTGGCACAAAATGACCATTTTTAAAAATTTGCTAAGATAGTACAAGAATGCATATCGTCGGTGAAATGTGATAAACTGCTAAGTCTATACCTAAACGGTATAAAAAAATATGTACACATGTAGGAAGTATTTTCATGCGTTAATATGATAAAGAGTAGCGATGGGAACTATCGAATGAATTAGACTATCGAATGGTTACTGAATGAATGATTTCAACTATCGAATAGTTTTATTCGAATAAAATCATTCATTCATTTGTATACTAAAGCATATGTGACAACCTCGCCAAGCGACTAAATGGTTATCGTTGCGCCACGAGCCACGACTATCAGAATGCTTTGATAAATGAAATTTAGTATTCGTTTGATTTTTGTATGCGTCAGTGCATTATTAGTTTTTCCAAATTTTATAACTTCGCCTTGTAAATACCATATGCTATTTTTGCGTTTATTAAAATATTTAAAATACTAAAATAGTAGTTTTTTTAATTGACGGTTTGTGTGTGCGAAGTGGTCAAAATTTTCCGAAAATTTATGTGTGATTTTCCGTAGCCCGATCTTTCAATTATTTAATTTTATATGGTATATTATGGTTAGGTTAGATTGCATTTTTTTTTAATGGGAAATTTTGAGAAGTAGCAATTTTAAGAGAGATGAGATGAATTTTAAAAATACATATTTGTATTTTATATGTTTTAATAATATGAATTAGTTGAACTTAATAATCATATTTAAGTAATGTGGTTAAGTAAAAGGTTATCGAACTCAAATTTTGGGGTGATAAAATTAAATTGAAAGTTTTTACACGTGTCAATTTTAAAAAAAGTTAACAATGTTTGTATTTTGTTTATGCTAATTCAATTACATGTAGTTTTTGCGAAGAAATATTTCATTTATTTTTAAAGTAAATACCAGTAAAAGTAAATATTATTTTTAAAATAGTAATATAAAATAATAAAAGTAGTATAAATAATTTTGATTTCTAATTTTTATTTATATTTTTCCTTCCATTTACACTGCATGCTTAGAAAATTAATAAATGTTTATATTTCATGATTTTAAAATTTGTTGTTAATATAACAAATTATTTCTGTAATTATTATTATTTAATAAACCAACGTTGCCATTTAGAGACTATATTATTTTTAAATAAGATCTAATATAAATACTTTTGACTTCTATTTGTTGTTTATATTTTGCTACTACTTAAAAAAAATGTTTATATTATTAAATGATTTTAAATTTTGTTGTTAATAGGTATAACAAATTTTAACTGTTATTATTATTTATAAAACCAGTCTTTGCTTAAAAACATTAAAAATCATTTTTCTACATCCAAAATAAAAGTATTATTCAGTGTAACAACAGAATATTAATAAAAAATGTAAAACATATATAGACATACTATCCCTAACTAACTAATGCTAAAGAATAATATTCTTTGCTAATACCAACTAATACGAATATATGGCAACAGCGCCCTTCATAATGTATTTTTTCTGTGTAAATACTAGCACCTCAATAAAAAAAATAATGTGTCCTTATCTTTATTTGACTCCGCAAAAAATCAAAGATGTCGGCTTCTTTCATAGCATGGCCACCGACCGCTGTCGGGTTTCTAGGAAAGAAACCTACGTGGCCGGATGACAACTAAAATCCAGTTTATATTTTATTAAAATCGATCCTGACCAATAATAAATGA